CCTAGTGCCATTCTCAACCCCAGTCAGGAACGACATTGCCCTGAATGCCTAGAAACTAAAGGGCCGATTTTGCATCTTAGAACAAGAGTTTCAGGAAAGCACTAAAATAGTTTTGAGCTTGGACTGAGGAGTCAGATCTCCTGAGCAACCCAACTTAAAGTTTCTAAGTCTCCCTATCTATAAAAGGGGGGATAATGTCCCTATCTCCTGTATGGGATTGACTTGGGATACTTTAGACCAGCATTGTCCAACAGTAATGTAGTGCAAGCCACATATATAATTTAAATGTCCCAGGTACTGTATTTATAAAAGGAAACTGAAACGGGTGAAATCAATTTTAATAATCTAACCCAGTATATCCAAAGTTTATAATTTCAGCATGTTATCAATAATAGAATGACAACTGGGGCACCTGGGTGGCTCAGTCAGTTAAGCGTACAACTTTGGCTCAGGTCATGATCTTGCGGTTTGTGAGTTTGAGCCCTGCATTGGGCTCTGTGCTGACAGCTCGGAGCCTGGAGCCTGCTTCGGATTCTGTGCCTCCCTTTCTCTCTGCCCCTCCCCTGCTCACACTCTGTCATTCTCTCTCTCTCAAAAATAAACATTAAAAAATTAAAAATAGTAGGATGACTAATTCTTTTCATTTATATTAAGTCTTTTAAAATCCAACGTATTAGTGTACCTCAGCATGCAGTAGTCACATTTCTAAAGCTCAGTAGCTAGTGGCTATATTTTAGGCAGTGCTGTCTTCAGGAATTCATATAAAACACAGTACCTAGTTCATACTTTGCCAGTTAACAAATGTTGGCAAAATGATCGTAACTTACTTTAAACACATCAAAAATTGGATGGTCAAACATTAGTACTGCCCGTTTGCATTCATTGCCACAGGGGGAGAGGCCTCAGATCTGTTATGGTTTTTTGTTTTGTTTTGTTTTATTTTTTTTTTCTCTTTCAAAGGAATAAAGAGTTGACTTGAATGTTCTTGGCCAATTCCCTGGAAGTTGGCCCCTAGGTTTCGGAATGAGGTCAGTTTGGTGGTTTACGGTCGACTTTTCTTCTGGAGGTGGGAAAGGGGAAACTCAGCGTGCCTCCAGTGCTGCGTGCCTGTCTCTGTTTTTTGGCTCTCTTCTGTTTAATTATTTGAAGCTGGAGCAACTTGATTTTAAAACAAAACACATGGGCCGAGAGTAATTGGGAGGACGTTTGCTCGTGATGTAGTGCTGAAGGTATGTGCAGTTGAGGCCCCGGCCCCATTCTGCTTGCTTAGGTAGTGAGTGCTTTCCTTAACCTCACATTCAGTGGTTTTTTGTTTTTTGGTTTTTCTTTCTGAAAATTCTTAAACCTTGTTTGGAAAGTCAGAGCAGAAAGTATTAGAGCAGGATTGTAAAGGAAGTTGTGAGTCTTCTTTAAATTCTGAGTTTTCTCTCTCTCTCTTCTTTGTGGAAGATCATTGGTTTCCAGTCTGTTTCTATGATCCAGGAAGGAAAATGGGTTTTCAAAGTGCAAGAGGAGAACTTCATGCAAAGAGGAGAATGTTGACCCGCCACTGAGTTTCTCTGTTCTACACCACTCCCGTTGCTGACTCCAGCATGGGAATTTCTGTTCTATGGCCAGTTCTTATGTGAAGGCCATGTTGTCATTGTTTTACCTCTTCAACTCCCGTTTGCCTGCTGGGGGCAGAGTATACGATGTCCTCCTCATCTCACACGTAATTCTAACCCAAGGGCCTCTACTTCCTGTCCCAGGGAGGAAAATGGGAATTTATCAGGACTGGTAAGAACATATACTACATTGGTGTTAATCTCCTCTCGGTTCAAGCTGTGTGCTTCTAAGCAAATGCAACTCTGTAAGCCCCATTTTTCTCTTAAAAGGGGGTTAGTAATAGTGCCTATTCCAAAATAAAATTGCCGTGAAGCTTAAAGAGACACTACATACAAAGCAGTAAGCACAGTGCCTGCCAAGTAATAAGAAATGAATGTTAGTGATTAGCAGGGCCCTCAGCAGTAACATGTCCACCCCAGAGGAACGGCTGACCGTGATGTTCTCTGCCACGACATCCCACCCGTTGCTTACAGTAACTGCGATTAAATGCCACATCAGGAAGATGATTGAACATTTGTCCAAGAAGAGCTTTAGTGTAGGGCATGCATTTCACCGGGATGAGTTTCACATCAATAGGTGTGAAGTCAAGCACTCTGTGATTTCTAGGTCTGATGGGATGCTGTGTATGCAGTCATCACTTGTTACCCTGTTGTGCCTAGGACCTATAAATAGGAAAGTAGCGTGCTGAATTGCCTTATTTTGGTACTACAGAGTCCCAGGTATCTTTGAGTCATTTTGGGGACTGGTACATTTGTTGTTTTCCATCAAAAACATAAAGCGACATAGCACTCCAACCAGGGCCGTAGAGGGGACCTTAGTTTTCTTTTGGGAGGTTCAGAACAACAGCTCTTTCTAAACCCTTTTCAAACCTATAAGAACAAAAGAAAGGGGTCCTCGGTTTTTGCCAAATCAAGGACTTGCTGAAGCTTTTGCGCATGGAGGCTCAGAAGGTATTACATGCTGTCTCACTGCAGAATCAGATAATTGGCGGGAGATTTGGGAAGTTCTTCTAAAAACACAACCAGATTTTCAGGGCAGTCAGCCGTCTGTTTTTGCAGTCCTGCGTTTCCCCTCTGCTCCTTCTGTTTTTCCCCAGCCCCTCTTGGATCCATTAGCCGATGCCCTCAAAGCGTCAGCAACCCCCACGCTTCCCTGCTGCGAATGATGACCTCGCCAGGTGGACAGCTCTCAGATTTCCCCTAAACTGCAAAGAATAACCACCCTCACTCACTCTTGTCTTCTCCGTGCACCCTCTCGGTGGACAGCTTTCCTGACATTTAACTTAATCAAGATGTTAGTAAAATAAACAGAGTGTGCTGCTGTCATCCGATTGAAACTGCTCATTAACCTGCCCACTCTCTTTTCACTTCAGTGTTTGGGAAGGAAATTCACTCAGAGTTGCTATTGATAATGAAGATGAGGAATAAGATGTGTTTTCCCTCATGCTCCGTTACACCCAGTTCTGACTGCTGAGCTCTTAGTGGGCAGACGGCCCTGTACAGTGTGTCCTCAAACATGTGACACCCTGATTACAAGACATGCTGCTGGGACGCCTGGGTGGCTCAATTGGTTAAGCGTCTGACTTCGGCTCAGGTCATGATCTCACAGTTCGTGAGTTCGAGCCCCGCGTCGGGCTCTGTGCTCACAGCTCAGAGCTTGGAGCTTGCTTCAGCTTCTATGTCTCCCTCTCTCTGCCCCTCCCCCCGCTCATGCTCTGTCTCTCTCTCAAAAATAAATAATGAAAACATTAAAAAAATTTTTAATTTGATTAATTAAAAAAAAAAAAGACCTATTTTAGTTAGGTAAAATCAAGAGGGGAAAAAACTGGGATGCCACTGATTTCAAGACCTGTCCCAATTTCAGACATGTTAAAATGTGAGGGGGAGAATGTGTATCTTAGAGCAGAGGGAATACAGTGACAACTAACTAAAATGGAAAATCCCTCTGTTACTGTTTGCTCCCCCTCCCTCCCTGGCGGGCAGCGCTGGGGGTGTGTGGGTTGTGCTTCACGGTGCCTGTGCACGTACGGCACAGAGTTGAGAGCAGGCCAAGTTGTGGAAGGCCTCTCAACTGCAATGTAAATCATTTAACTTTCTGAAAAATGGAAGCATCCAGGACTTTTCTTTGGGTCACATTGAACCTGGTAGGATTCTTGTTACTTTCTGAAGACGTGGTAAAGAGTATGTTGAGGGGCATCCTGGGCTTCTGCATGCCCTCTGGGACCTGGCCCATTTCTGACGGCATGACGGCATAGACAGAGTCGCCAGCTCTTTTACATTCATGTCCCTGGTCGTCCGGTTTTTTAGTGAACATTTGGCTTGGACGGATGGGGGTAGGTACTGTTTCCTCTCCTACCCTAAAAGGCAGCATTAAACATTATTAATGACTCTGATTTTGCTCAGGGTTCTGCCTAATTATTATTCTTCATAATTTCAGTGAGTTCTAAGCACCGACATGTCCCCACCCTGTCTTCTAAAAATGTTTGAGAAGTTTTTTCCCCACTTTGAGATATAATTGACAAATAAAATTATAAGATATTTAAAGAGTACAATGTGATGATTCAGTGTACATTGGGAAAGAATTCCCTAGCCTTGAGTTAACACTTCCATCACCTCATGTAGTTACCTTCCTGTGTGTGGGACATCATTTCCATTTTCTTAGCAAGGTTCAACTTTAGTGTTACCGACTACAGTCACCATGCTTACGTTAGATCCTCAGACCTTATTTATCTTACAACTTACACCCTTTACTACACCCTTGGCCGCTACTTTTTTTACTGTTTCTATGGGTTCAACTTACTTATTTATAATTATTATTCTTAATGTTTTATTTACTTATTTAGAGAGAGTGTGCAAGCAAGTGCAAGTGGGAGAGGGGGAGAGAGAATCCTAGCAGGCTCCCTGCTGTCAGCATAGAGCCTCATGCAGGGCTCAGTCCCACTAACCGTGAGGTCATGACGTGAGCTGCAGTCAACAGTCAGATACTTAACCAACTGAGCCACCCAGGCACCTCTCAACTTATTTATTTAGATTCCACATGTAAGTGATATTGCGTGCTATTTATCTTTTCTGTCTGGCTTATTTTATTTTGCATGGTGCCCTCCAGGTTGTTGCAAATGACAAGATTTCCTTCCTGTCTAAGGTTGAATAATATTCCATTGCAAATGTATACCACATTTTCTTTACCCAAGTCTTCTTAATGCTGTAATACCTTTAATCAAGGTGATTATGGTGTTTCTTTTTCCATAAAAGGCTATTACTCAGATTTTAGGCAAGGCTATTTCTCAGCCAGGTAAGGTGATAAAAGAATTGGTTGAAAACTTTATTTATATTTGTATTAGTAAAAACATGGCATCTACCCTTATACTTAACGCTATCTTTCTTTCTTTCTTTCAGTTTTTGGGAATAGCATTTCTTGGAATTGGACTGTGGGCGTGGAATGAAAAAGTAAGTTGAATATCATGAAAATGCACACATATTGGTCGTTAGAGGCTGCACTTTGCCTTACATGTTGTCTCCTTTCCTCTTTGACAGCTGCAGAGTATAAAGAAATGTGGTTCTTTAATGAAAGAAAGTGTTCTTAGAAGATAGTGTCATATTTCAAAGGCTCTTCAGAAATGAAGGCTAAATCAGTCATCTTATCAAAATAATTACAAAAGTAACAATACATGTGCATAACATCAGTTAGCAGGAGATGTGCGTTCTTGTGGAACGTTTCCTCGCTCTGGCACAAGAATTTCAGTAATGCTTATAAATACCACTAAACCACCTGCAGCCTTCTCTCTTTCTCTTTTAACCCTTTGGAAGATTACTCAAGCCGTAAAAGATGGTTTTTCTTTTTAGTGTGAGCATTATGTAATAAGCTGTTATTAGCATGTTGTATGAAGGAAGCTGTATAAAATTCATGTTTGAATATCAGATAAACTTAATGTTAATAAGAATGTGAATACTTGTCTGCTGATTGAAAGTATTTAGTAATGTTCGAAATTTAGATACAATATAGTAAAAGGAAATATCTGGAAGTACAGAGTGGCATATTGTAGGCCACGGCGAAGATACAATGTTCTCAATGTTCTCGGCAGTTTATGCTCTAAGCAACACTCTCATGACCCGACCTCTCTGTGTCCACTCCTCTGCCTTACTTCCCATCAGCACCATTTAATTGTTTCTTTACAAATTCTACTGAGGCTAAGCACTGGAATTCAGAAATTAACGTGAGCTTTTCTTCTTCCTTCTTTGGAAGTGAAATCGTTGGCAGCGTTTTATCACCCACCTTGTGAGAGTGAGGGAGTGTATGGATCAGTGAAAGCTTGTAAACAGAGTTTAGCTTAAGTTTTCCCAGAGGACCAGTCTGTTATCTCTTTGGTATTTCATCCTTTGAGCTTGACCACAGCCTGAAGCCAAGAGTTTCTGTGAGATGTTCTGTGTATTAGGAGAGGAAAAACTAAGAAAGTCCAGCCATCAAAAGCCCCTCGGATGCCAGTAGGAATTTCTATAAGTAAAAAATGGAAAAAAAAAAAAGTTCAGATAGACCGCATCAAATAAAACTCATATTCTGAGTTTTGAAAGTGAACCATCCTTTGTTTATTTGCAGACTACTTATACAGAATGTAAAATGTTTTACAGAAAGTGAACCACCTTCCAGCAACATTCTGAGGCAGGCCAGTGATGAAGGGAGACAAATTAAGTTCCCAGAACAGACATTTTCTCTCTAGAAACTTTTATGTTGAATACATATCTTCTGCCTGGTCCCCTTGTAGGCTTGTAAGTCTGTATTGGTGGAATCTCAGAAATGTTACTTTTGAAACCTTCTGATTGGTTAATGCCAGATAACACAGCTTTTTATAACTCTCCTTTAATAAGAGTCCATTTCTATCTGATTTGAAAAGATGTTGGAAGGCATTAAATGAACTAATTGTCTATTGTGGCAACAAACAGACCATTGGTAATTTGGGAGGTTTTTTTTCCACTTTGTGAAATATAATTACCTTTTTGTTTCATCAGTTACCCCAAATGTCTCTTCTCTGATAAAATGACAAAATTCTAAAGCTGGCAGTGTCACACAAATATCAGAGCAAGGGAGTGATGCAGCCTTTGGGTAGGGTTGAAATAGCAGTCCCTTCTTTGTCAAAGCCACTACCAGTGAATGGAAAGTTTCTCTGGAGAGCTGAAGTTACTTGGCCAGCCAGCCAGCCAGCTACTATGTAGCAGAACTTCACCAGCTGGGAATAAATGGAGGTAGCAGAGGGTAAAGGACTCATAGCACTCTAGTGAACTTCAGCCACATGTCTGGCCCCTGGGCATGGGAACACAGCAGTGAATGACGTGCAGTCCCTGCGCTGTGGAGCTTGCATTCTTGTGGGGCCCTGACAATAAGCAGTTAACTGGCTGAGGACTTCTTCCTACCACCTTGGGTGCTACCTACCCCAATGCTGGCCACCTTGGGTGCTACCTACCCCGATGCTGACCACCAAGGTCTCTCGAACTGCAATGGACCCATACTGGTCTCCTTAATTCCTCAAGGGACTTCTTGAAGATGTATGTCAGATAATTTCACTTCTCTACTCCAGCCAGCTGATTTTCCATAGCTTGCTGCAAAACATAGAGTTGATACAATCCCCGTTGGGCCCTTGCCCCAGCACTGAGGCCTTTTTGTTGCCTGATGGCATCTGTGCCTCTGCCTTCACTGGCCCTGATGTAGACACTGTCCCCTCAGGAGTTTCAAGGGACCCCAAGTGCTCTTTGCCTAGCTATCACCAAGCTCTGATCCAAGTCCGGCTCAAATCACCTTCCTGTGGAACCTACCTGACCTTTCGCCTCCCTACTATGGACCTGTTTCCCCACACCCATGTCCATGTGACATTCTGTCTGTCTCACTTCATCCTTTCCTGTCTCCTGTCATCAGACCTTTCATGACATGTCCTCACCGTCTTGAATTGTGCCTGACACGGACAGACTCTGGGGAAATATATTTTCCAAGAAGTAAATTCGAGAAGAGGGGTGAACAATAAATCAAGGTCTCAAAGAAGGTACAGTGGGGTTGGAAGGGGGCACATAGGGAAGAAACCCACCTGGGGGGAAGTGGACCAGCAGGAAGGACAGGTAGGGCTGCAGTCTTGCCCATGGTGGTCTGCAGGCTTTGTTCTTCCCCTTAGCCTTCACACCCCTACTTCTGGTTTACCTGAGGACACTGGATTCAGGGTGAGCACTAAGCAGGCCCCTGCACTGCCACCATCAGAGCACGCCTAACATGAGGCCGTGGAACCCAAGGTGATTCAATGGGTGGTCACCAGGCCACACTACCAAGCTGCCCCTCCAGCTGAGCTTCCTGTCCCCACAACCCCCTCCCTCCCACCCTGTCTTCCCACAACCCCCTCCCACTGACTCCATTCCCATTTTACTCCTTCCCGCCCCCCGCCAAACCCGCCTTTGTTCAAGTACTGGTGAGTGCTATCGAGAAACCTAAGGTATCGTTAGAGAGTGGTGAGAGAAGGGGTCTCTTTTAGAAAACGATGGTTGGGAATGGTGTCCCTGTGGAGGTGGCATTGGAGCAGAGACCCGAAGGAAGTGGGCAGGGTCTGCAGGGTACTGGGGGAATAGCATTCCAGGCAGAGCGAATAGCAGGTGTGGTGGTCCTGAGTCAGGGACTTGGGGTTCCAGGGAACAAGAAGGAGGTCAGTAGGACTGGAAGGGAGAGAGCAAGGGCAAGAAGAAGATGTGGCAAGAGGGGCAGGCAGAGAGGTTAGAGCAGGCAAGGTCCTGCAGAAGTTTGGATGAGAGGAAGTCACCAGAGCATTCTGAAGTTTGATAAGGGAGTGTCCTGATTTGGCTTTTTTTTTTTTTTTTCTTTTTTCTTTTTTCTTTTTTAAGTGTCTGGCTTTTGTTTTAAGATTGCTCTGGTTCCTATGTGGAATAAGAGCACAGCTTTGAGGCTAAACAGACCAGAGTTCAAATACTGGCTCCTCCATTTACCATCGGTGTGACTTTGGACAACTGTGTTAACTTCCGTGAGATGTCCTTTCCTCATTTGTGCATTGAGGACAGTAACCACCTCATAGGCTTGTTTTGAGGACTAAATGAGATGGTCCCCAAGAAGTGCCTGGTATAAAGTAAATGCTCCTTGTATATAGGGCTGCCTCCCTTGGACGCATGACTATAGCATGGGGAGGAGCAGAATGGTGGTGTTGAAAGCTGCCTCAAATTTTAGGAGAGTTCAGGCTTTGATCTATGGAGCAAAGAATTGGTTTTGTTTGGAGGTCTCTTAAGGAAGATATGATCTGCATTGATCACCTTGGTGACTGCAAAAGCTTCTCTGTCAAAACACCTTGGATTAACTTCTCACCTCTGATGGGATGAAATTTTGAGGTGAACCACAGTTGGCCAAGGGTGGTGGGTAGCATGCACCTGCTGGGCTGAAAACACCAGCCCATGAATCAGTGAGCTCCCCCCAGTAGGGATGTAGAATTGGTAAATCTCCAAACTGGGTCGGTCCCAGCTAGAAGGACCAGATTTCCACTGGAAGGATGAGATTTCTTTAACAGACAAGGCTTTACACATTTTTACACATTTTTAGTGACAAAAATTGTTACCCCCTTGTGCATACATAATACCAGGCTGAGCCTTAAACCTAGGGCTAATATTACCATTGAATATTAGACATAATAATGAAATAATCCATTTTATCTGAATTCCAAATTGACTGTGCAAAGGATAACTGTGTCTCCAGGGGAAACTGGTTTATGTGCAGATTTTCAGAAATCATAGAATCTGCTGTTTAGAAGGAACATTAACAATTATGTAGCATGAATCACCTCTATAATAGGCTTGGCAACATCCAGCCGTAATCAACTTACTTTTTCAGATAGCATTTATTGAGCACATAGCACGGGATTGGGTTCGTACTGGACTCAGGATATAACTCCTCAGAGAATTTACAGTCTAGGAAAGATAAACACACACACTACTATACAATATATAACATTGTAATATATGCTAATTTGGGGTGTATATAAATTTAGCAATTTCTGTGCCAAAATACTCACCACTTCTGTCTCTTTGGGTTACTTTTACTGTTGGAAAGACCTTCCTGCTACAAAAGTCGAATCATGTCTTACTAGTTTTTACTCCTTGATTATGGATCCACTCTGTTGGATCCCACAGAGCAAGTCCTTCTACATGTTGGCCCTTAAGGCATTCAAGGTGGAGGCCTGGTTCCTTATGCGTTTTGAGCTAAATACCTGCTTCTTTTTGTGGGTGAGGAGTCCCTTCACCATCTTGGTTGTGATCCCCTGACCTCTCTCTAGTGTGTCCTCTGTACCATTGAGAAGGTGCTTTAGGGGGCATAGGAGGTGTGGCTGGACTATGTCCCTTTTCTCATCTGTTGTCAGTGCAGTTTGAGATCCTGCTGTTGATCACTGGGAGTCCCAAGTTGGTCTCAGATCCAACTA